TTAGTGCTTTCAGGTGTCAAGAAAGGAGGGTGTTGGAATGAAACGCCATTATTTTTCTGCTCAGGTCAAACGGTGCCACAAGCTGCAGCCAATAAAACTATTTTGGGCAAAGAAAGCTTCATCACTCTGTGGAAACATCTGGTAGCAGAGGTTTTCATCCCTTCTTGGCGTACGTGAACAAAAGCCAAAAATGTGACAAAAACCCACTAAAATGTTGACAAATTAGTCTGTCACTTACTCAAACCTGACCTCTAATTTTTAGTTTTTCCTCAGAGGAAATACTTTATGCCCCTTCAGAGCTCTCAGAGTCTCTGCAGTCCTGCAGGTTATCCATAACATTTTTTATTTCTCTCATGAATAATGGAAACAGATGAATTGTTTAAAATGTCTGCTGGAGATCGTAAACTCATTGTTCCCAGAATCAAATCTGACAGAAGAAATACTTGTAATTATATTCAGGCCAGATTTACAAAGAGAAGCGGTGGTTCTGCTGTTGAACTGTGGAGACGCAACAATCAGTCTCATGGCTGAGAAATAATCTCAGAATCTTATAAATACTGTAATGATTTACTGGCAGCAAAAACAAAGCAGACCTCTCTGGTAATTCAGCTTTCATTAGTAAGAAGAGCCGTTCCGTTTGGTTGTTTGTGGCCCTGACGGTGACCCGTTTATAAATATCTTTATTTCTTTATGAATCTGTTTGGTTCACACAAGTTGGGTGTTATTTGTGTTTGAAAATGTTAAACACTGTAAACTTTGAAAACCACAGCTGGTTTTAAGTATGAAAATAAAAGCACACTTCTTGGGAAAGGTTTTGTCTGAATACAGCAGAAGTGACAACAAATTTCAACAACTTTAGATTGAACTGATTTTCATCCAGTTCAGGAACTGGTTCAGCACGAGTCCACTGAAAGTGTTTCAGTTTTATTTAAGGTTTAAAATTTTTTTATTAAATGTTGCATCCTAGAATGCTTTACTACAGAAGAGTATTGCTGTCAACTATAA